AAAAAAAAAAAAAAAAGGGAAAAATAAAGAGAAGAAAAATAGAAAAAACTTTAATACAATAATAATAAATAGTAGTAAAAGAAAAGAAGATGTTGCCCATGTTGTTGTTGTTGTTGATGTTGCTGATCGCATCGTTGTTTTGGCTGCTGTTGCTGCTGTCTGCGTCCAGCATGCAATGCAACAATTTCACAAGCAACACGCAGACAACTAAATGACAATGTGAGCAAACCAACAACARCAACAACAACAATGAGCTGAATTTATAATAAGTAAATCCCGTGTTGTTGTTGCTGCTGCTGCTGTTGCCTGCAATTGATCCATGTTGCTGTTGCGCAAATGCTGCAGAGCAACAAAAACAAAAACACACACACAAAAAGAAGAAAGATCTTCAGCTTAATTATCAACTTATTTATTTGGATTGCAATTGTCTTAATCAATTTGTTAAGGATGAGGAAATGGCATCGAGTCTATAATTTGTCAGGCCATTTAAGCGGATTTCCTCAGCGCTAAATTTCACAGCTACCGTGTTAACTTTGACACCAACAGCAACAGCAACAACAACAACAGCAACAACAACAACAACAATCGCAACAGCAACAGCAACAGCAAACCAACAATCGCCCGCACCAAGACAGGCAATTAGGCATTGGGTAAGAGAGCTGGAAATTAAATCGCACTGCAATTGAGCCAAATTGTTGAGAGTTGAGGCTGCTCATGCTGATGCTGAAGCTGAGGCTGGCCCACGCATGCGCTGAAATGTTGATCAATTGCCCGGTGGCAATTGCAAATGTCAAACGAAAGACTTAGGCAGCGAACTTGCCGATTGGGCGTTATTAAATATGCAATGCAAATGCAAATGCAAATGCTTAGCCAAATTTGCTAGCTTGTTAAATGTAATGCGCACAATTTGAGCCAACTAAACAGCAACTAAACACAAAATATGCCCTTTAGCCTCGGCCAGGCCCAGACCCAGGCGCAGGCGCAGGCCCATGCCCAGGACCAGGCCCAGGCCGTGGCTCTGGTTCAATTTAGTGTCACGTTAGCATTTGTTGTTGTTGCTGGTGTTTGGGGCGCAAACGCTTCCAGGCGGCTGCCAAATGCACGGGTGGCCATTAAACAAGCGCCTAACTAGCAGTTGCGGCCGTCAACGTTGAATTAACCAAAGTAGCCCCCTGCAACGTTTGCTTAAAACCCATAGAGAAGTCTATAGAGAAGCTGCTGCTGCCGCTGCCGCTGCCGCTGCTGCTGCTGCTGCTGCTGTTGTCGAACCTTTCTCTTTGTGCCGCCGCAAAGGTCGGCAACGGTTCGTGGCTAGCTTTCGGTCTTAGTCTCGGCTCTGTCTGTGCTGTGGCGGTTTTTTTTTAATAAATACAAGTGTTGCCCGCACAATGGCAAAGATTCGTTTGTCGAACGTGCAACGCGCGCGATCAAGACTTTTGCTCCGGCTGCTGCTGCTGCCAATAGATACTTAAGGCAGGCTACAAAACAAACGGTAAATCGTCGCCAATAACATCATCAGCCACAACTTATGTTGGCTATACACCAGCCTAATGGCAGTCAATAGCGTGAAGGCTGCTGTGATTCAAGACGCGTGCGCATCGAAGGATTAAAATCGACAATTTTGCAGTTTATAGTTTTTTCAATTTCACGCATTATGTGTCGAATCTTCACTTCTATTATATAACTCTTGGCTCTTAATAAGCAAGCGTATAACGTTCAGTGTTCATTGTGTGTTTTCTGTGATTTTCAATACTGTTTGTTTGTCTTGTCTTTGTCTTTTTGCAGTTAGCCATGTGTTTAATGCAGTAATCCGTTTTTGCGAGCATTTTTTGTCAAGGAAAGCGAAACAAAACATCGCAGTGACTGTGAAAGTAATAAAAAACAACAGCAACTACAACAGCAACAGGCAACTGCAAAAGATATTCAATTACTAGTCCGTTGCAGCAACGACACAAAATGAGAATTCAAATATTGGCTCTAACACTTTTGCTGGGTAAGTCAAAATCAAATACGGAAATTAACTGAAATCGTGCAAAAGCGAAAATATGGGAAGATCCCCACTATTTTTTTTCTTTTTTTTTTTAACTGAGAAAATTGCTAATTGAAGGTTGATGTCATTTATAATGTTTTTTATATGCATATTTTTTCATTGCATAAAATATTAGTTAGTTTTTGTGAATGTCAGATCAATACTGCATAATAAATAAGATTTTGCAAATATATTTGGAATTAAAATATTTATATATAACTTTTATATATATATAACTATATAACTTTTTAAACAGATTTGAACATAAAATTCGTTTAGTACTGTGCTTAAATATTTTTATAGAAGTCATATATCATTCAAGAGATCAGAGCTGTACATAAATATATAAAAGTAGTCAAGTCAAGTTAGGCAAGTACTTAAGCACATACAGCATATAGAAGTAGTCAAGTCAGCTATATAAAAAAGTGCTTATTGAGATATGTACGCAATTTCACATATACTACATCACAATAACTATTATTAAGTGCTTTAAAAATAAGTCCTTTATTGTTTATTATAAGCGTTTACAAAACAACTCAATTATGCCTTTAGTCTGCGCTACTCAAACTGCCTTTGATTTATTTGCCATAAAATGTTATAAACGTTTTATCACTGCATAAAAAGAACGTTTTAATATTTAACAATTGATTTTTTATGGCGTAGTAAATTAACTAGAAAACCTGCTTTTAATTTATAAAAAATATAAGCAACGTGAGCAACAAATAAAATTATGGTAAAAAGTAAATGCCCAACGCAGATTAGTAATATACCTGAGCCCTCTATATATGTAGAGTATATATATATATATATTTATATAATTTGTTTATCTAGTTTCATTGACCTTTAGTTTCCTTTCGAATTAAAAGTGAAAAACTCTCACAAACACACTTTTCACCAACTCTTCTCCTGCCCACACAGGCCTCGTCGTCGCCGGCCAAGCACTCGATGCCAAAGCCAAGAGCGAAGACAGCAGCTCCGCGCAGCTGGAAACGGAAGCGACCAAAGACAAGCGACAGGTGAGCAGCAAGGAGACGCCCATCTATCCGAATCATCGCAGTTCGGCTGCTGAAGCAGCCGCTGACGATCCCGAGGATGGGCAGGAGTCGATCTACGGCAGCAAACCGAACCAGTTCATCATACGCCCCATTGCACCGCATCAGCATCAGCAGCACGAGTCGCATCAGGAGCCGCAGTTGCGTAACTTTGCGGCGGCCAACTCGCGCCCGCACGCTGCTCAGCTGCTCGAGCAGAGCCAAGAGGTGAGTCCACGAGGGGGAGGGCGGGGAAAGAAAGGTCTCCGCACTCGTAGTAGTGGGTCAATATTTGCTTGTCTCTTTCGTCAAAATTTGTTCGCTTGGGGCGACAGAAGCGTTTGTTAAGCGTGACTCAACCGAATTACACGATTCTTTGCAAAATGCAGGATGTTAAACTGTAACAACAGCAACCGAAACAACAGCAACAACAATAACAACAACAACGATTGCAGCTTGTATTGAATTTGTCAAATTAAGCCTTTCGCTGGCCCCCAGCTTGGCGCAAACCTTGACCAATATTGTGCTTCAATTTTCAACATTTTGGGAACAAATTGCGATTAAAGCAATCGCAATTACCCAAAAGACAATGTTTTTATATTACAAAATGTGCAAGAAAAATGATTGCTGTAAAATGGAAATAGAAAAAAATTAAAAGCGAATATAATAAATGCCATTTGTAGCGGCCGAAATGTAAGTCACGAGCAGCAACAACTAAAAACTAAATAATTGCAAAATTATTATTATTGTGCTGCTCTAACGCGTCAACAACAACAACTACTACAACAACAGCAACATGCCACATCCAACACAATTTGCAACAGCAGCAACTTCTTCTTCTTCTYCTTCTTTTCTGCTTCTTCTACTCGTCGCAGACAATGGCAGGCGTTCGTTGTCTGTCTTTGGCTTCAGTCGTGGGAAGAAAGTTGACATAATGTTATAATCACATCACCCCCCACATCCATGTCTGTCAGTCCGTCTTTCAGTCTCTGCTGATGGCGCCTTGACATGGCTGGGTTTTATTTATTATAATAATGTGAAGCCTATTGCGACGGTAGACACTGCGCAACAGGGTTTGGGCTTTAGATCATCTCATTCGGCTAATTTTAACTAATTTGCTCAACTTAAATTTAAGCAAGAGTTTCAGTTTTGCTCTGTTTCAACTGCGGCTACTTATAAATGCATTGTCTTTCTATGCGATTCTCAGCAATTATGAACTACTTAGACTTTTTTCTTTTGTTAGACTTGTTAGTGTTATAAAAAAAAGTAAGGCTTTCACCATAGCTGAAGCTTGGTATATAGTTAAGTAATCCAATCGACTGTACTATTGACGGCCCAACAGAGAATTGATCTTCACTTCCAGTAAATCGTTTCATTTAAGGCTATTTATATTCCATTTTCATCATATCATATCTATACTCCCTCTCTGTTTCAATTCCATTCACCAGTAGCTGCCTTAGCTCAAGTAGATTTTTTTCTCCTTCTATATCTCTTTCCTTCTCTGCTACTCTCTCCTACGATGGGCTTCATACTGAGTAGCTATCTGTGTGTCTATGGAAACCCACACTCATTTCTCATCATTTTAAAACTTCTCTCTTACTTTCTCACTCCCCTCTCAAGTCCATATTCTTGCTGAGCAATTCTCACGCCTGCACGTTTGATCTTGTTACATCTCTTGCTCCTGTAGTCTAGTGCTGCACATTGACCTAAAACGTTATCGTTAGTTTGTTGCAGAGTGTAATGTAAATAATTTGTTTTATGCCAACGCCGCCACCGACTTGCGCATCGATTGCAACAGCAGCCCAAGTCAAGACCCCGCAACCGTTGAGGTTTCTGTTGTTGTTGTTGTTGCTGTCAGTCGCCGCACAAGTGTTATATAAGTTTTAGATGCCACACGATTCTCACAGCTCACAGCTCACAACTCCGAGTTGATCTTAATAGATGTGGCAGCTGCTTTGTGCCTCTATGTGGAGAGCTCCACATTTAAACGCTGCCATTTGGCTGTGGCATTGGCCGTTGATCTTTCGCACGCCCACCTAGCCGCAAGCTAGCTTAATCGTCATAATTTATTAGACACGCCCTAACGCTTTGTCTCTCGCCCACGCCTAGCTGCAGCACTACGTCTATCTGCAAGATATACAGCGACACCAGCCCAAGGCACTGGCATCTGGGACTCAAGGTAAGACAGCGACACAGTCTCCCAAGAAGGCAACGCCCGTCGCCGAGGAACAGGAGCAGGAGCAGGAGGCGGAGCAGCGTTATGCCGTCTCCATACAACCGCAGCCGGGCTTGAGGGGCGGGCCCTACGCACAGCCAGCATATCAACTGCCCTTGCCGCTGCCTGCACCCCACCATCAGCATCAGCAACAGCAGCAACATCCGCAACAACAACAACAGCAGCAACAATATCAAATCATACCCGAAGAGCAGTTCTTGAAAATACTCGAAGAGGAGCTGCAAGCAAGAGCTTACCATGAGCAACTACGTCAGCAGCAACAACAGCAACATCAGCAGCAGCAGCAACAACAACAGCAACATCAGCAGCAACAGCAACATCAGCTGCAACAGCAACAACAGCGCCAGCCTCCACCTCAGCCCAAACTGTTGCCAGTACACAGCACCGCAGCCACACACAAGGTGCTGCAGCAGGCAGAGCCCATCTTGGGCCTGGGTGGCTATCGGGAGCGCTATGTGGCCGAGCAGCAGCTGGTGCAGCCCAACTACTCGCGCGGCGGACCCAAGTACTTGCCCTTGCCGCAGTCACAGGAGGAGGAGGAGTCGCAGGCGCCTCTGCCACAGCAGCGCCACCCACCACAGCAGCAGCGCCTCATCGCTGCCCTGCCCCCGCAGATTGCCTACTATCAGCCACAGATTAGCTACAAGACGCTGCCCAATCATCCGCTGGCCAAATCATCGCTAGAGAGCGAAATCGAGAAGCTGCTGGCCGCCAACAAACCAGGTTCGGGTCAACAGGCGTTGGCCTACGTGGACAGCAGCAATGAGCCCACGCTGGTGAATCATCAGCAACATGTGACACGGCTGCCCCCTCCACAGCATCCACCGGCACCCACTTCGCACCCGGCACTGCGCCAGCCCAAGGCCTATTTGGCCAGCACTCCCAACTCTCTGCTGGATGCCAACAATCAGCCTTTCGTGCCGTCACTCTTCAAGTTCAGCAACTTCCAGCAACCGACGCCCACTTACCCTGGCCCGCAGCCCGAGGGCAAACGATTGGGGCCTGTTATTTATCCAACGGGCGCGCCTGCTCAGCCACAGCCCTCGCAGTACTACTACCAGGAGGCGTCGCCCACTCCAGTGCCCAAGCCCAAACACTATCGCACTAAGCAATACAAGCTGCCCACACCCTCACCTACCAAGTCCTATGAGAAGGCGCTGCTCTATGCCGACTATGCTGAACGTGCCCCGCCTTCAAGTCCAGCACCCACTAACGCCCACTTCTATCCCAGTCCGCCTGATCCCATCAAGCATGTCTCCCATGGCCAACAACGTGCTGTTGTGCCCACTGTGCAGCCCATTGACTATCCCGCTCATCCGTCGCCCTCACAGTCCAGCATCTATGTTTCCCAGGGCACTGGCATAGCCACGCCCTCCCGTGTCACGCCCACAGCCGCTGCAGTGCACAAGCTGCGAACCCTGGACGAGGTGAAGCAGCTGAACCTGCCCCCACCCAATGGCAAGCCACTCACCCAGGCCGAGTTCCAGGCCCTCGTCGAAGCTGGCTATCCAGTCAAGGCAGTGCCCGTCCCTGTGCCCGTGCCCTATGAGCAGTACGTCAAGGATCATCCCGAGTATCGTAACCATCCGCCAGTAGACTATGCGCATCTGATGCGCCTGGCCACTCGCCAACTCACAGCCCATCAGCATCAGCATCAGCATCAACTGGCCCATCAGCGCGCAGCGCCTTCAGAGCCGTCGGTGAAGATCCTCTCCTCGCCCTCTTCCGCCGAGGCGCAACAGCAGACGGCGACGGGCATTGGAGGCGGCAGCGTCACGTATTTGCAGCGAAGGCCGCGCGACGAACAGGACACTGCTGTCGCTGGCAGCGAGACGAAGGCAACGGCACCCGCTGAGCCAGTGGAGAAGTCCACATAAGACGCGATCCTTTAGTTAATCTCACTCACCCTTTGCCTAGTTTTAAGTATTGTAAAAATGTTTCTGCATGTTCAGCACCTTAATAAAGTTAAATTATAAATAAATAATAATAAAATCTAGTTAGATCTTCAGAACAAGTTTCTACAATTTATCGAAAACTATTTATTTGCGTAAGCTTTTGGATGTCTAGGGAATTGTGTTATTTGAGAGGGATTTGGGGATTTACATTGGACTGAATGCAGGGAAAATGCAAAGGTTTTTTTTTTTTTATATAAATAGAAGCTATACAAATAGCTTTCATATGCAATGCTTTCATTTTTATAGATTTCTGAAAGCCCTTTTTAAAAAAAATCTTACTATCTAATTAATTAATTAACTCATAATTGTTTCAATAAGCCACAGGGAGTTGCTCGACGACCTTTCCTTAGTTCATGCCCAGCGGGGTGTTACTGTTGCTGTTGCTACTATCCGCTGAGCTGAGGGTTTCAGGCGTGGCAGCATCCCTTGTCTGCAGGCGAGAAATTTGCGGGTCTCTTCGATCTTTATCCTTGCGCTCTCGCTCACGGTCTTTGTCCTTATCCTTGTTGTGCTTGTGTTTGTGCTTGTGCTTATGCTTCTTCTTGTCTTTCTTCTTCTTTTTCTTCAAATTGCCATCGGGTCTCATCTTGCTCTCGTCGTAGCTGCTCTCGTATTGTCGTGTCGTCTCGCCAACGTCTAGCACCGAGATCGAATTGTCGTCTATAGTATCCGCATATATCTCGGTTCGTAGACGCTTAGTTAATTGCTGAGAGTCGCCAGCGGCTTCATCGACAGCATCAACATTTAGCTTTGCCTCGCTGTCATAAGCCTGCACTTCAATCGGATCATTTAGCACGGTGATCTCCTCGCTGCGCTCTAACTTGATGATCTCATCGCCCACCTCGAAGGCTTCTGTCGCAGTTCGTTTGATAGTGACCATGGAGGGCTTTTGTTTCTCCTGGGGCTCACTGTCTACTGGCTTGGACTCGTTTGTCTTTTTAAATGAGTTACCTGACGCATTAGGGTCCTTCAACAAGTCCTTGTAGAAGTTTTGAGTTTCGGAAGCCTGTAGGCAAAACGGTCGCTTGGTACCGTAAAGCGCATAGTAGAGATCGACAAAATCACAACGTAATTTCGTGTCACAGGACAATGTGTTAATGCTGATCCACAGACGTTCCACCAGATGTGGTTTGTCTAAGCGGCTGCGGGTCTCGCGTGTAAATGGTGGATTGTCGATGAGCAGCTGGGCGAGAGCATGTCGTGCAGCAGGATCTGGATCAGTTTCGAGCAAATTTATCAAATGCTCCAAGTCCTCCCAGCGTCCATCTACTTTCACAAAGTCCACAAGACACTCCATGGCAGCAATGCGTAAGTCCAGAAAAATTCCATACTCCGCATAGCTGCGGTAAATGTGAGGCAGCGAGGGCAGATGGCCAAACTTTTGCAGCTTGCGAATGACCTTAAGGCAAGACACGGATACCATGTACTTATACGATGGCAAATGCTTCTCCATATTCAGCAGACGCGTTACCTCATCCAGAACCAGTCTATCAAAAAGAAAATGGCATTAGTCTACGCAACATACACATTAGTTTCGTCTCTAATTACTTGGCATCCGTGGAAAGGCTGTCTGTGGTAATTTGCGTACCATGCATTGCCACAGATACGACGGGAGTCAAAGTCTCTCCCAGTGCCTCGACCAAAGCAGCTCTATAGTAGGCGTCAGTATAGTGATTACGAGAGTTCTCATTGTACTTGAAGAGATCGAAGAGGAATCGCATTACCTCGGGTGGACAGATGCCATGAGAGGTGCGTAAGCCTGTAGCGCGATAATACAGTTAAAGATAGAATAACAAAAAAGGAACATTTGATCCACTCACCCGCCATGGCCACGGGTATAGCCTTTTGGAGGAAGTACAATTGAAAGTTGGAAAAGTTGTTCAGTTTTATGATGTGTGGTGCACTAAAGGAGCCAAAGAACTTGCGGAAGATGTTGAGCATGGCAGGTGGACCACTCCATGAGGCGACCATTTGATTGGCCACCTTGGTTAGACTGTGAGCAGCCTGGCAGCGGACCTTGTAGAAGCAATGCTCACTCTCAATTGTGTCTGTGAGTGCTAAACGAGTGGCATTGGTGGGATACTTTTGCAGCGCTTGGATAGCCTGAAACTGGGCTGTCACATCTCGCTCGTGCCGTAGTTGGTATTGCCATTGAAAGTCCGGCTGCTCAATTATTAGATCCCGTAACAAAATCATTTCCGGATCAAGTCGTATCCATAGCACAGGTGAGTCACTGTGAAATAGAAAAGACATTAAGCTGATGTGCTTAAGTGAATGCTAATGAAACCTACTCCATGGCAGACAAGTCCATGTCCACCTCTTCGCCGGTGCACAATGGAATCTTCTTCTTCTTGTTTCGCCTACTTTTTGAATGGCAGGTGATGTCCGCCTTGACCAGTGTATTCTCAATCTGCAGCGTGTGCTTGAATGTGCCATCCAACTCCTGCAGCTGCACCAATAAAGGCCCATTATATTTGCGCACACCACGCTGATTGACAAAGTCCTGGCGTATCTCCAATTCGATGGTGTTTCGTTTTCGATTGAATACCGAGGTGAGCGAGAACTTTGCATGGCCGCCCGTGCGCACCCACTGGTCCATAAACACAGACATGTCCTTGCCCGTGACCGTAAAGATGGCCTTGATGAAGATGTTCGTGGAGATGAGCAGCTGCGACCAGAGGCCGGCGCCTATTTTAGTGCCCGCTGCATTTGTAGCCAGCGCCAGTTGCTTGTTAAACACTTGGATGAGCAACTCCTGCCCGATGCGATGCTCCAACATGCGTATGACCAGATGCGCTTTCCTACGCATCGCCTCTACATATTTGGGTGAAACCGTGTGCAGACTCTTGATGGGAAAGTAGTGTACAATCTCCTGCTGTTTACTCGCAGCAGCTGCGGGATTCGTACTCGATACGGGCAGAGGAGCTGGTGGCTGACTGCAATCGAGTATAATGCCGCCAAACTGTTCCTCGTACTTGACCACGCGTGCCAGCTCCGTTTGTACCCATTCCCGATACTCGTTATTGCCAAAGCATTTCCGTGAGTAGAGGCCACACAAATACTCGGCTATGCCTTTCGCTAGCCAAGTGTCCGACCAGTGATGTGACGTGATGAAGCAGCCAAAGAACTGCTCTGCCACAGCTCGTGACATGAAGGTCCGTGAAATGTAGGTCTGGTCGATAATTGCTATCGAGTGCAGGAGATTAACCGATGCTATGGTCATTGTTGCATAGGCGCTGATATCCGTATCAAGCTCGTCTACAAACACCTGTTTGTAGCAGGAAAACGGATAGCGTGTGGAGAGCGTCTCTTCGAAGAACTCAAAGGCTTCGTGAAGATAACGCACCGTATTCTTCAAGAGAGGCAACAGGCCGGGCAGGCAAAAATGAGTCACTTCGTGCATATGCGGGTCCACGTAGATTTCGAATGGGCCCACAGCCAGCGCAATGTTCGGCGCACAGACAGGTGTGGATACAGTGTAGTGAAACGTTTTCTTTCGCAGATCTGGAGTCATTATAACTTCGATCAGTTCTCCACAGGAAACAGCAGTCAGATTTTTATCCACTGTGAATTCTAGTCGCCATGTGCACGGATCCGCAAAGCTGTCGACGCAGGGAAACCAAAGGCGGGTCGAGTTCTCATAGCAGTTGGTGAACATGTGCGCACTATAATTCTGTCCTATTTCATCATCAGGGGGTAAGGGTGGAATAACGAAGTGCATGCCACCTTTCGGATTTTCGGCTGAGAATTCGATGCGTATGCGCAGACCACGACCCTCCTGAATCAATGGATAGCCTTCTTGCGGCACCTGAATCAACAGCTCGCCATTATTCGTATCCGGATCAGTGATTTGCGCTGCAGCCAAATGATTCTTTGAGAAGACCTCCAGAGAGCGACTGCACTTGGAATGAATTTGAATGAATAAATGACCTGCCACAAGCATTGCTATGACTCAACAAACCTCTTGGGATCATTGTGGCATATATCCTGAAAGGGATCGAAGTAAAAAAACTCTGCTTGGCAAACATCGTTGAGCACCACGTTGTAAATTCGCAGCTGCTTGGCATTGAGACGTATCAAACGTAAGCTGTCATTATTTGGCACTATCGTCAACTCAACCATGCCCTGAAAATCATGCATAATTAATATTAAAATTGATGCGCTATCATTTTCTCTTACAATTATGCTGCGACGCTCAAAACTAATTCCAGTTAGGCTCACAACTTGATGCGCCGTGCTAGAGAAAAGAAAAATTGTTAAATGGCTTACTTAAAGCAACGACAGCCAAATACTTATAATTTAAATGGACGCAGCGGTACTTCGGGAATCTCAGTTTTAGTGTCCATAGTTCTTCACATTTAATGTCTACAAATTTCACAAAATTCTTTAACAGCTATCAATATTGCGGCATTGTTTATTTTTTTCCAATTCTATATTGTTCTTCTTTTGCGGCTTGCGGCTTTTGTCAAAAATGACAGCAAAATATACCAAATGCCGTTGTGGCAACTCTAAAAATTATGATGCAGCCCTGATTACAACTTTTAACACTGATGCTGAATTTGGGGTATTTTTCAGCACCAATTAAAATTGGATAAAACAATAATTTCCAATATAAACTATACAATGAAATGTAAGTAGTTTAAATATTTCAATAAATAAATTAAAGATCTATTTCTACTTACATATATATCTACATATATTAAAACACAGATTGTATTCAAACTCCTAATATTATTAAATTACATTAGGATTAATATCCGCATACACAAGGGTTAAGATGTGAATCATCTGGTATACGAAAGTTAAATTTGGATATTTCTCCCATTTAAAACGTATATTTCCCCAGTCGAGTCAGCACTTTTCACGCAAAAGCGTCTATCTGCGTTCCCTGTAATAGTTGTTTATAATTCCATTAGCTGCGTCAATCGATTAATATATATTATAAGAAAGAAAAGATATTTAAGAAAAAGTTAATTAAATTTAAAGAACTGTGCAACAATGTACGGTATTGATAATTATCCCAAAAATTATCATGCCAGTGGCATTGGCCTTGTCAATTTGGCAGCTCTCGGCTACAACAAGAATGAAGTCAGCGACGACACGCAAGGCAAGCCGAAGTCTGGACTGTACCCTTCGCTGCCCTATCCAACATCAGAGTCCGTGGGTGGCATGCCATATGTGGTGAAGCAGACGGTCCAGCCACAGAATTCATCGTATCAAGGCATGCCCCAGCCATCGGCGACGCCGTATCCAAGCTCTGGCATGTATCCCAATCTGCCAGCCATGCCGTTGCCATATCCATCAACGCCGCTGGCGCCCATATCGAGTGCATCCCCATATCCGAGTGCCACTCCTTATCCGAGTGCAACGCCTTATCCCAGTGCAACGCCTTATCCCAGTGCAATGCCCTATCCGAGTGCGACGCCCTATCCAAGTGGGCCGCCGTCGCTACCCTATCCAACGGCTGGAGGAATGGGTATGCCAGGCATGCCCATGCCCTATGCACCCTTGCCCACAAGTCCAGCACCGCAATCAATTTATCCATCGATGCCAACGCCATCTGCGCCGCCACCAAACGAGCCCACGCCTGAGGAGGAGCCTTCTGTGGGCGTACAGGAGCTGCAGTTTACCAGTGTCAAGGTGCCCGAGAATCAAAACATGTTCTGGATGGGCCGCAAGGCGACTACCACGCGCCAGCAGAGCATCCAAAACGTGGACTTTTCCACGCTGCGCGAATCTTGTGTGTCCAACAACACATTATTCGAAGATCCCGATTTTCCGGCCAACAATGATTCGCTTATGTTCTCGCGTCGTCCGGATCGGTACATCGAGTGGCTGCGCCCGGGAGAAATTGTGGACGATCCGCAGTTCTTTGTCGAGGGCTACTCACGCTTCGATGTGCAGCAAGGTGAGCTGGGCGATTGCTGGTTACTGGCTGCGGCGGCGAATCTGACACAAGACTCGAAGCTCTTCTTCCGCGTGATACCGCCAGATCAGGACTTCCAGGAGAACTATGCGGGCATCTTCCACTTCAAGTTCTGGCAATATGGTAAATGGGTCGAGGTCGTCATCGATGACCGTCTGCCCACCTACAATGGGGAGTTGATTTATATGCACTCAACGGAGAAAAACGAATTCTGGAGCGCGCTGCTGGAGAAGGCATATGCCAAGTTGCATGGCTCGTATGAAGCCCTAAAGGGTAGGTCTTGAATATACATTTGCTTTATTTATTATAAACCTAATCTAACCATCTTAATCCCCTCCTTTAGGCGGCACCACTTGTGAGGCCATGGAAGACTTTACGGGTGGTGTCACTGAGTGGTATGATATCAAGGATGCCCCGCCCAACCTGTTCAGTATCATGACCAAGGCAGCGGAGCGTGGATCAATGATGGGCTGCTCCCTGGAGCCGGATCCGCATGTGCTAGAGGCTGAGACGCGCGAGGGTCTGATACGTGGGCATGCGTACTCCATAACTAAAGTCTGTTTGATGGATATATCGACGCCCAATCGTCAAGGCAAGCTGCCCATGATACGCATGCGTAATCCTTGGGGCAACGAGGCCGAGTGGAACGGTCCTTGGAGCGACAGTTCGCCCGAATGGCGCTTCATTCCGGAGCACCAGAAGGAGGAGATTGGTTTGAATTTCGATCGTGATGGTGAGTTCTGGATGTCTTTCCAGGACTTCCTCAATCACTTCGATCGGGTAGAGATTTGCAATCTCTCGCCCGACTCGCTGACCGAGGATCAGGAGCAAAGCTCGCGTCGGAAGTGGGAGATGTCCATGTTTGAGGGCGAGTGGACATCTGGTGTTACGGCTGGCGGCTGTCGCAACTTTTTGGAGACTTTCTGGCACAATCCACAGTACGTGATCACGCTGGAGGATCCCGACGAAGAGGACGATGACGGCAAGTGCACGGTGATTGTGGCGCTTATGCAAAAGAATCGTCGCAGCAAACGAAACGTGGGCATCGATTGCCTGACCATCGGCTTTGCTATTTACCATCTGACAGAGCGAGACTTGGAGCAGAAGCCTCAAGGGCTTCACTTCTTCAAGTATCGTGCCTCGGTGGCTCGCTCTCCACATTTCATAAATACCCGTGAGGTGTGCGCGCGATTCAAGCTGCCGCCCGGTCACTATCTAATTGTGCCTTCGACCTTCGATCCCAACGAGGAGGGTGAGTTCATTATTCGTGTCTTCTCCGAAACCATGAACAATATGGAAGAGAACGATGACGAGGTCGGCTTCGGCGAGACAGACGATCGTATTGCGCCCGCTCTGCCGCCACCCACACCCAAAGACGAAGACGATCCACAGCGCATCGCGCTCAAGCGTCTCTTCGACAGCGTGGCTGGTAGCGATGAGGAAGTGGACTGGCAGGAGCTGAAACGCATTCTGGATCATTCGATGCGCGACGTCATGGTCGGCACCGATGGCTTCTCCAAGGATGCCGTACGCTCTATGGTCGCCATGTTGGACAAGGATCGTTCGGGTCGCCTGGGCTTTGATGAGTTTGAAGCTCTCCTAACAGACATTGCCAAATGGCGCGCCGTATTCAAGTTGTATGACGTACGCCGCACCGGCAGCATCGATGGCTTCCATTTGCGTGGGGCACTCAACTCGGCTGGCTATCATCTAAACAATCGGCTGCTGAATGCCCTGGCCCATCGCTACGGCTCACGGGACGGCAAGGTGCCCTTCGATGACTTCCTGATGTGCGCCATCAAAGTGAAGACCTTCATTGAGATGTTCCGCGAACGCGATACAGACAATTCCGATACGGCATTCTTTAATCTAGACGATTGGCTAGAGCGCACCATCTACTCCTAGAGAACTAAAGCTAATCCCGCTTCACCCAGTTGCAATCCGTACTAATCCTAAGTGCCACATTTACTTATATACTACCATATCTATACAGATGCTATTCAGATGATGCACAGCTGCATGTCCATGACGCAGACAGAGCTTATCAAATAACAAACGATTGCTACAGTGAGACCACAACAAAGCGGAAATACAAAATCGTGTGCACATTAATTGTATTGACCTTCAGTCGAGTGCTTGACGATAAACGTGCAGAGCGAGGGAAGCGCAGAGAGCGCAGCAAGTCAAATAAAAACCAGAAACTCAGCAAAACTCGACGGTTGTTTACAGAGTCATTATATAGATACTATATGGCTCACATGCACACACAAGCACATATATATATTATGTATATTATATATAT